ATGCCGATGGCCATCGTCTCCTTCAGAGACGGGTGCATCGGATCAAGCGTGTAAACGCGATCCGGCATGGTGTCACCTGCGCTTAGAGCGGCATGGTGACGGCAAGCAATGAGGGTGCTTGTCATTGCAGCCAGTGACGGCGCTAATGACTTGTGTCGCAGCCACAGAGGGCGCAGACACTGTGCCGCTGCCAGCAAGGGCGCAGGCACTGCTCACCGGGGCTCATAACCTGTTGAGCATGCTGGGAAGCACACCACTCAGCTTACCTGAATATAAGAGAGCTTAGCTAGAGGCTATGCGCAGAGTAGGTGAAGACCTGTTATTACAGGGCCAGAGGAGCCCTCCTTATATACTACAGGAGAGGCGACGATGTCATACGTAGTAATAGAGAATGAGTCAAGAGGACAGAACACGCTGAGTAAAGTGTACATGTGACAAGTCCAACCTATGTGTCCATATGTGTCCATCTGAGTCATATGATACTCGCGTGTAGGTGCATGTGATGCACACGTGACATGTCGTGACAGGCCGAATGTTCAACAGGAAGTTCGGGGAGAGGGAGGTGGAGGAAGTTGAGGTTGGCGAGGTCGTCCATCTTTAAGGAAGCGGTCAATGTCGGGAGGGAGAGGGAAGTTGCGCGAGAGGCGCTTCTCGGGTGATCCGAGGACGCCACGTGAAATAGGGTCGGCCGGGTTCTCTGCCGAAGCCACGTAAACGAAGTCCGCGACGATCATATGACGTGCGAGGAACTCCGTCGACCGGCGCGCGCAGAGGTTGATGGCTTCGTTCTTGCAGCGACCCTTCCGGAGGGCGCCTATGGCGCCGTAGTTGTCGGAGTGGATGAGGAGGCGGCAGTTGGAGATGCCCTGGGTGCCGAGGTAGTAGAAAAGCAGTTCGAGGGCGATGGCTTCGAGCCAGCAGATGCCGCGACTGCGCTTCTCCGGTGATTTCCACGTGTCACGGAGTTCGAAGGCGTCCCATTGATCGCCGATCAAGATGCCGACGCCCCAACTCGTCGACGCGTCAACAAAAAGGCCGAGGTCCTGCAAGGCGCGGAGGGGGTGGAGGATGCGGTAGGTGGTGCCCGAGCGAAGGCGCGTGAGCCACCACTCGAAGGTCTTGCGGAGTGATTTAGAGGCGTAGCGTGTGGTGGTGTAGTTGCCGAGGAAGCTGTACATTGCGTGTGAGATAGGGGGGAGGTGCGAAGAGCCGTCTTGGTAGATGAAGGTGGCATAAAGGAGAGTGCCGTGGATCTTCTCGAGGTCCTTGAGGGAGAGCTTCTCGCTAGCGTAGATGCGCGCGAGGAGGCCTTCGAGGCGTGAGATATATTTGAGGCGCTTGTGGTCGAGTAGGCTGCAGCGGCGGACGGCGCCGTAATCCCATTTGATGCCGAGCGACAGGACCACGGCCTCGAACGACTTGCCGCATTTGGGTAGTTGCAACGGTAGGCGAAGGTCGGCCAAACGCGAGAGTTCGCCGATGGCGTCGTCAGGGTTTATGTCGTAGCGGAAGCCATCCTTCTCGAACGGGCCGGTCGGGGTAGGAGTGATGCATGCGTGGAAGTCATCTTCGTAGCGAAAGGTCGGGTTGAAGCCTTCGTGCTCGAGTCGCTGGCGGATGGGTTCTCCGATCTGGCCGGCGTGGCTGCTCGCGGGGGACATGCCGAAGGAGTTAGTGTGCGGGAAGTAGAAGTCGTCGCCGAGGTGAAAGACGCCGAAAGGTTTGTGATGTGGGTTTAGTGGGACCCCGCGATGGAAGGCGGTGAGGTCGATGGGGCTTCCTAGCGTGCCATCTGGTGAGTTGGCGACCCAATCTGGTGGTGCGGAGGCGGAGGTTGACGGCGCGGGAAAGGTCGGTGTGATGGAAGCCGTGATGTGATGTGATAGGCGGATCGGCGGCGGGCGCGGTGGCGTGATAGCGGAGCGCGCGTGAATTGAGGAGGAAGAGGAAGAAGCGAGTTGGCGCGGTAAGGATGCGAGTTGGCGCGAAGATTTGAGGAGGAGGAGGAGGAGGAGGAAGCGAGTTGGCGCGGTAAAGAAGCGAGTTGGCGCGGTGATTTGAGGAAGAGGAGGAGGAGGAGGAGGAAGCGAGTTGGCGCGAGGAAGCGAGTTGGCGCGGCGAGGCGTGCGGGCGTGGAGGGGCGGGCGGGAAGAATTGTTAGCGGAGTCGTGGCGCGGGAAAGCGGACTAACCTGCGATGTGGGTGACGGTATCCAGGCGGCAGGGGTAGTCTTCCTTCGTAGTCATGTCATTGATGGCCGGCGTGCCCGTGGATTTGTCGCCCTTGGAAAAATTCTGACAGATGCGGTATTTTGGGACACCGGGGGCCGATTCCGTGACGACGACGAGGAGCGCTGAACAGTAGATAGGCCCGCGCGCGATGCGGTTGATGTGTTCCAAGGTGAAAGGGCCGGAAATGCGACCCGCCTCGAGTTCGCCGGCGATCCATTGATTGACGGGGCCGATGTTCTCGTCGACGGAGGCGGAGTTAGGGATGATGACGTTGCGTGTGAGCGGAGGTAGGTTGCCGATAGGGAAGCCGTAGGTAAGGTGTTTGATAAGTAAGGGGTGTTGATCCGAAAGATTCATAGTACGTAAAGAGGCGGCGAAAGCGGCAGCGGGGTAAGGGGTAACAATTCTGGAATAAATTTCGTTATCCTCGGGGGAGGAGTTTGCAAGCGGGGGACGAGCAACGGCAGCAATGGCATCGGAGAAGTCAGTGAAATTGAGGGCGGGACGTGTTGGGCGGGAGTAAGTAGCGGGGGGCGGGGAAGGTATGCTATGCGGGGAGAGGGCGGAGCGGAATTCTGAGGCAATGCAGTCGGAAATGAAGGGAAGCGGGTCCGGGTCGGGTTCTTCGGCTACTGTCGGTGCGGTGTCCGACGTGCCGACCAGCGCGGGAGGCGCGCGTGCCTCAGAGTTTGATGCGGCCGTTGACGCGTCTCTCGCAATCGGGTGAGGCGTCGCAGACGGCGTGAGGCTTGAGGCAGTGGGCGCATATGTGTAGTCGGCGGTTGGTACCTTCTCCGTGGTCGTGGTTCTTGTTGCAGGTACCTGAGTTGAATTTGATGCAGATCTGGGCAGAGCGATCGTCGGCCTTGACGAGTGTACCCGGGTGACCGGGGATGAAGATCGACTTGAGCGGCGTGCCGTCCTTGAATGTCGTGGCATTTGCGTTATTGGATTTGTCGTGGTCGAATGTCGAGTGCGCGTCGGCGCAGGAGTAGCAGGTCTTGCCCTCATCGTCCCGAAATCGAGGTTCGCGTCGTGGAGGGCTTGCCGGGCGGCGGCTGCGGTCGTAACCGTTGTCGCGCGGGCGATCGGAACCGTAGTCGCGTGGGCGGTCAACGTCGCGGGAGCGGCGTGGCTCGGAGTTGAAGCGGTCGCGGTAAGAGTCTTGGTCATAGCGTGGGTACTGGTGATCGGCTTGGGGGCAGTATTCGTGACGCCGCCTATCATCGCGGCGGTCGGAGAAACGGCGGCGGCGGTCGTCGAAGTCGCGTGTATTGCTCGAAGATGCGTACTGAGTGTGAGTAGGAGGGGCGGTATAGGTAGCGGAGCGGCTGAATTGTGGGGGAGGTACGTAATAGGTGCGAGGGTTAGCAGATTCCGCCATATCAAGCGGGCGATAGGCCTCGCTGATGGCGGCTTCGAATGCGGACTTATCAAAGGCGATACCTTCTTTGATGATGCGGTTGAGGAACATGCGCTCGATGGGGCGCCAAACGTGGAAGCGTTCTTCGCGTTCGCGAAGTGACCGGTTGAACTCGATGTGGGGCCTCAGGTGGTGGGCGATAGTTGTCTCGTTGCCCACGGCTTCTTCCGGGGGGCTAACAATGATGTATGCGCGGAGTCGATTCAATGACGCCTCGTCGAATTGGGCCAGGTTCAGGTCGGCTTCGTCCGGCAGGCGGAGCGCGAGTTTGGTGGCCGGGATGTCGATCAAGGTGGCGTCTTTTGTGGCGTGCTGCGTGTGCGTGCGGGTCTTGATATTAGTCTGATCGGCGAGGAGGCGGAGCGTCTTGTTGAGGAAAAACGTGTCATCGAGGGGAACTTTGCAGGCGAGTTGCGAGATGATGATGTCGGGGATGGGAACCGTGTCGACGTCGGTGACCTGGGCTTGCGGGGTGGACTTGAAGATCATCGGGGCGATCTTGATCGGCACGGGTTTGAGCTTGCGGGCGTCCTTCTCCGCGGCTTCTATTGCCGCCTTAGCCTCGTCCGCTTGCTTGGCGTGGATCTTGCGCTTCTTGAGGGCCGCCTGTAGGAAGTCGGGGTAGGAGGGCCATTCGCGGGCGATCGTGCCGTAGGCGTCCTCGGCGAGGTCGTCGATCTCGTCCTCCGTGTATGCGAAGAGCGCCCAGAGTGGCGCGCCGACGTCCGTGAGACCGAGACTGGCGCGGGAAACCGGGTCCTGAAATAGTAGTGTTTGGCGGATGCTGGCGGCGTTGTGGGCCTCGAAAGTGCAATTGTCGGCGTGGCGAAGCTTGATGGGCATGAGCGACGGTCTGGGGTCGGGGACGCGCATCCAGGCGTTGTAGTCGAAGTCCGGCGGGATCGGCAGTGGAAGTCTGGAGACCTGAGTCCTGGCTGAGCGCGGGGGCGCGTTGCCGCCGCCCGGGGGTGCGCTAGTCGTCGCCGAGGTGTTGCCGCTGCCGGTAGGCTGCTGCGGGGTGCCTGGCGCGAGGCCTCCGCTGATGGGCTGCGGAGCGGAGGAGTGCGGGGTGCCTCCCGCGACGCTGCCGGTCGTGCCTTGGCCACCGGAGGTGGGTATATGCGCACCGTTTCCGGTCGGAATGGGTCCTGAGTTCGAATTGACCATTGTGGAGGTGAGAACGGTATGTCGTGAGACGGAGAGGGCGAGAAAAGTCGAGGGCAGCGAGGGGGCGAACGTCGGTCGGTGAGCGCGTATTCGAAGAAGCTCGCGCTGTGACGCCCCGTGACAGCAACATACGCGTTGGCTGCACGTGGCGTCGCCGACCGGCGTTTGCCCGTCCGCTCCTTAGCTTGCCTATCACCGCGCTAGTTACTCGTGCCTCGTGCTAGCGCGGCTCACAAGACACGTCGGATTCGAGGGTGTCCCGTCTGGTCCGATTCGAGGTGGGCACTTGATTCCATTGTGTGCCGTATGGCGTGGACGATGATCAGAATGCTGATGGTGAATTTTTCTTGCTTGAAGCAATCAAGGAGACGGGCTCGTCCAGGCATTCGCCGTGATACTACCCGATCGCGCGAGTGTTCGAGCTTGAAGGAGGAAGGAATTCTTTTACTGTGGTACAGCAACGACTACAGTAACGATCTGCCGCACTGGTATGACAACCCTAAACTGTGTGAGGCATGTCACTCATGGGTGTAGGATACCTTATCCGGGAGGCGCAGCGGATGAAGGCTCGCTCATCGTTCTCGTAAGTCATCGACAGACTCGCGCGAAGACCGTGCTTACCCTACTACCTCGTGCAGTACACTCTCGATACGAATGACTAAAAGGTAGGTTCAGGATCTGAAGAGAAGTACGTTTGCTTCCAGAGCTCGCCTCGAGGGTAGAACGCCGGCTACCAGGCGTTCATCTCTCCCGACGACTTTTCCTCGTATTTCATCGCCGCGTTCAATGAACTATGCGCGGAAGGCGTGCAGGGTCATAAAAATATGCTATCTTGGGCTGCATTGTCGGAGTGTTGGACGCCCTGCACGCCTGGCGGGGCTGCGCAAGTTCATTGAGTATTCGAAGAGCACTGAGGAGGGCGTCTGGTTTGCTACACGCGAGGAGATTGCAAAGCACTGGATTGAGAGGTTTCCGTACAAGGTAAATCAAGTTGCTTCGAAGTTTTCGGAGGAAAAGGGAGGGCGTTCGTGTAAGAGCAACTGCTTCAAACGTTGTATGCTCGCAGTTCGCCCAGCACTGGGTGTTCATCACCACGATGAGATAGAAATCGAGAGGAGAAGTTCAAAGAAATGTGAAGATGAAAGAGGAGCAGGAGGAACGTTTATCGGATTGAGCGCACGAGATGCCCGCGTACTTGACAGTCGAACGTGGGTATTTAAGGAGTTCGAAGAGGGCAAATCCTTTGCTGAGTCGAGGGACGTAGCTTTGAGGCTGCACAGATAATGAGGTATTCCTCGTCCAGCTGTTTTTACGAAAGGGTTCTTTGCGCGAGAAGGGCTGACATCGGAACTTGGTGACTGGGAAGGTGAGCGTTGGGCGAGCGGGAAGGGATGCGGGTCACCGGCCCGGTGATTAGCGCTGCGTCATGCAGACTAACTGACACCTAGTCAAGAATAGTCAAGCTATCTATTCCGTCGGATAGTCACTTGTTTCTTACCATCATCTACCTCGTCCCCGTACTCGCAGAAAACCTCGGCACCTCGCATCTCCTCGAGTTCTCTACCCGCGTGCTCCTCGACACCGAAGAGCACCCAACCCGACCCCGTCGATATACGGTCGAACGTATATCGCTAGGTCGGCCCCAGCACCAGCGCATGACCCAGCTCCATGCCCACTTCCACTATCGCAACAAGCAGGCGTTCCAGCGCCTGCTGGACGCCGACCGGGCTAAGCCCGGCGGTGGTGCACCCAGCACGAGCGCGGGGCGTGGAACTCCGGGCTCGTGGACGAGGACGCTAACGGCGTCGACGCTGGACGTGAACAAGCGAGACTGGCTTGGGCGGACGCCCCTCCATCTTGCCTGCTCGGCGGGCTTGGATGCCCTCGACTACGTGCGCATACTGCTGCGCCATACAGCGATCAACGTCAATTTGGCGGACGCGGAGAGCGGCTGGACGGCGCTGCATCGCGCGCTCTATGCGGGCAATTTACCTGCTGTGTGCGTAAATTGTCGATAGCTTATCGGACAGGTTCTGACCCATCTCAGCATCCTCCTTCTGCAGCGGAGCGACATTGACATCTCCCTGAAGGACCTCGAGGGATACACCGCCTTCGATCTCTTCAATGCGACCGTCGAGGGCACCAAGCCAATCCCCAATGATTCCCGCGCAGAGCTCTTCACATGGGGCATCAACAAGAATGCCGCGCTGGGTCTCGGAAACGGCGACGACAGAGTCTACCCAGAGAGCGTCGTCATCCCCGCCCTACGCGGGGTCCCCCAAGACGATCGCCGCTTTCTGCCGGCTCACATCCGCGCCATACACATGTCTAAACTGCACACGGCTGTCATAACCAACGAACCCGCATCCAATATACGAGTATGTGGATTCGGTAGCGGCGGCAGGTGAGCGAGTCCTGTGCGCTTTCGACCCTTCGCTTATAGCCCGCGTAGACTCGGACCTGGTCAGCACACGCTTCAGTATTCCTTCCAACCCCTTCACTCCTCTGTCCCGTCCCTGAGCATTGCATCCACCGCACTCGGCCAGGACCACACCCTCGTGCTCACGATCTCGGGGGAGGTCTTCTCGTGGGGGCTCAACCGATTCGCACAGCTGGGTTACGTCGTCGAAGTCACTGGGCCCTTCACTCAGGAGCCCATCCAGGCGACGCCGCGGAGGATCATGGGTGCCCTGCGCAAGGAGACGGTGGGAGGGATCGCAGCGGCGAAGACGTGCTCTGCTTGCTGGACCGCGGAGGAAGTCTATACCTGGGGCACGAATTCCGGGCAGCTGGGCTACGATCAGCCTGTTCAGGTGCTGCCGCGGAAGGTGACATGGGTCTCGCGCGTGGTCGACGTCGCGCTTTCGGTGGGTATGCGCCATTCTCTTCTCAAAGACAGCTCTGACTGCTGCATAGGACACGGCCATGGCCTGCCTCCTGCAATCCCGCGACGTCGTTCTCTTGTGCAACTACCAGCACACCAAGCTGAGCTTCCCCACCGCCTTTCCGTCCGAGATCCAGCCCTATCGGCCTCCGCAAGCGATCAAGAATGCGCATATATCCAAGATCGCGACGAGCGATGGGGTGTTTGGCGCGCTCTCGTCGAATGGGGAGGTCTTTACCTTTCGTCCTCCGCCAGCTCTGGGCGATGGGAAGGAGAAGACGGGCTCGGTTCTGCGCAGCGACCCGAAGGAGAAGCTGCGAAGCGATCTGAAGGAGGAGCTACGAAGTGACGTCAAGGAGCGTGGCGGGAAGAGTGCGAATGTACTACCGTTGCGCGTGTGGGCTCTGAGGTGGCCGACGTTGCCGAGGGCGTGCGGGCCGGTGCTGTCGAGGGTGCGTAGGCCGACGTCGTCGAGCGCGCGCGTGGCGGCGCGGTCGAGGGTGCGTGGGCTGGTGTACGATGTCGATGGGTCGAAGGCTCCCGCCGCGCACGAAGATGAGTGGGAGGAGGACGAGGATAATGGGGGGATTGTATTGCGCGACATGTTTGCGGTACTCATAGACGGCCTTTGGGAGGTGTGCTTAAGTATGTACACAGCTTTTCGTCGCTCGACTCTAGTTCTCGCCCACTCGTTGTCTCGGCCGGCGTACGGCGACAGGGTTTGCGAGGCCGGGGTCGGGTCCACCCTGCGCGGCCCGCGTGATGTGACACAAGTTGAACCGTCGTGTTTCCTTTTTGGTCAAAAGCAAAAAGTTTCGCATCTACGACCTCCTTAAGGTTCTATCTCGCCAACCGCTGCAGCTAGCGCCTTCGGACAAAGTGCGCTGGCATCGTATTTTCCAAACTAAGGGGTTTCCGGGGCTACGAGTTGCCGCTGTCTCTCCTTCCTATCCTATGCCCCCCGAACTCGGTGGGAAAGCGTGACAATGGTGCTCCAACAATTCTGCAGAGGCAAGTTCCTTTCCGTTCCTTCTCGTTCAAAGGCAAGGTGGGAGTGTGTTGGCTGGCCTACCTCTCGGCTAACTTGCTAATGTGTGCTTGCCTTTGCCCCCCTCCCTCCGATTTTACAGTCCTCGTCACCCTCCTCTGCCACCAGCGCCCGTCATCACAGGCTCCATTCCAGACATCACAGACCCTGTTCCAGTCATCACAAATTGTCCGTGATCTCGGTCAATAGTCGTTCGACGGTGCTTCATTGCCGTTCGAGGGCTGTGCGGCTTCAGTCCTGGGCCTGTCCACACCTCCGTTCCGTCGTACGATCACGTCGAGTGCGCCGACTCGCCATCCGCGAGCTGATCCGAGGGCTCGAGACTGGTCGCTGGTAGATGTATATAAGGGAGGCCCGTGAGGCAGGTCCTGTTGTGCACCCGAGCAATGTGTGGGTGTGAGCAACAGACTACAAATACACTAAACAAGCTGTAAGTATATGGATGAGCTATAGCACGATCTACAAGCACCACAATGTAGGTGACTGAGTAGGAGAGAATGGACGGAGCGCAGGTGGGCAGGGAGAACCATGCAACATCAAGGCCGAGGGATGACATGACGAGATTGATGAGTGAGACGATAGCCCAGCAGGCAGCGTAAGCCACGGCCGAGGCTGGCAGGATGGTGGTGAGGTGCTCACGGAGTGATAGGCACCATTGCAGGGATGAGATGGGGATGACAACACCGTGTCAGGGATGAGAACACCGAGACGGGAATGAGAAGACTGCGTCAGGAGGAAATTGTGTTCGAGACCGTGTCGAGAGTCGAGAAGTGCAGACTTGCTCATGAGATGGCGAGCGACACTCAAGGATGAGTGACAATTGACTTGAATGAGTTTCAAGCCAGTCGAGCAAGTCGAATGCAGCTGACTGAGAGCAAAGACAAATAGAAAAGACGAAGGCAGACACGAGTTGAAGCAGACAGATGAGCAGAAACTCCATTACAGGATACAAGACAGGCAATACAGTACAGTATGCATGGTGAGCAACACGCTTGGGAGGTCAGTGGCGTACTCAAGGATGCGCTCAGGGACACGCGAAAGCGTTCAAGAGCTCATCTAAGCCCTTGGGAACTCAGCGGAGCGCCCGACAAGTAAGCAGGGTACTCGCGAGACTGCAAAGCCCAAGGACTTCAAAACAGGAGCCCAGAGCGCACTATGTCGCTCTGCGGACGGAGATACATTGTTATATTGATCAGAAGGTGATGGAAGGCGGTGGGCTGTCTAGAACGCTTCGGAGAGGTTCAACAGAGCGCAAGGAAGTCGAGGGCGAGAGACGAGGTGATGTGAGGCAGCAGGCAACGCTTGGCAGAAGGATAGGGGAGCAGCGCTTGCCGCGATAGGAGGGGCGAGGTGAGCTGAACAGGCTCAATCCTTGATGGCAAAGGTGAAAGCGTCATATGAAGCACACAGACGCGCTTGAAGGTGCCAGCGAAGGAGCCAGCTGGAGGAAGTAACCAGGGGTCAGCGCTCATTTCGTGAATAGAAAGCAGAGCACGTACCTTATTTGCCTGCTCGGCGGACGAAAATCTATTGCTTCAGCGCTTGATTCGGCACGATGATAATGCAGGAGGCGCAGGAAGCGTCGGAGACACGAGCGCGGGTCGTTGGGATTGCACGAGCGAGCTCATGTTGTTGTTCGTGGAAGGGTGAGCGCGACGGGTTTGACGGGACGTTGACAATCAGCAAATGTCGACAACAAAAGCGCAGGTGAATGAACGCAATGGCATCGCTTGCCGAGCGGCGATGCATTGCCTCATCGCCCCGCACGAAATTCTAGAGCGTTGTCAGTCTACTTCCCCACCCCGAGAAACGTGTAACGCACCTAATATTCCCCTTGCCAGACAAGGATTCATTGCTTTGACAGACGAGCGTGGAATGCGGCGATGAGGAGTGGCGTGCGGCGATGAGCTTCATTCGTGGGGAGAGGGTGCGCTGTTGAGTAGCGAGGGACGGCAGTCGACGTAGGCAGGGGCAGGGTCGGCAAGGTCGGAGGGTTTGAGATGGCGAGGCCTCAGTCGGCGGACGGACATTCCGGGCCAGTTCCGTGGAGGATATTCAATGTTTGGGGTCTGGACAGTGGTGAGCGCTGGACTCGGTGACAGAGCTCGTACCACGCACCATGTCACGCTGCTCGGCGGACGACGATGTGTTGTGTCAGCTCTAAACTCGATTGAGGGCGGGGCATGCGGCGATGAGGATGATTGTTCGTGAATGTCAAGGACTCGGACAGCGACGTCGGCGTTGACGAGCGGAAGGGAAGGCTTCGGCGACATATAGAAGGTCTAGACAGAGGTGAGCGTGCGATATTCGTACCAAGTTATGTATCACGTACTGGGAAAAAAATCCATCTACGCGCGCGCGCGCGTAGCAAAGTCGAGCTTGAGCTTTGTGTGGTGCGGCAGAGGGTGACAGGAAAAAGCAAGGGCACGCGCTGCTGCGGTGTGCGCGTCGTTGACAAAATCGAGGGATTGACATGAGAGGTCCGAGAACTCGGAGGACACGGCACGACTCTCGACGGAAGCTCCAGGTAGCGGGACGAGCGGCCGGCTGGTCCGAGAGCACACGAGAGCGGCCGAAGGCTCATGTGTCCGGCCATCAGGGTCGCGGGAGGCCTACCAAAGTCGGAAGGTTTTGACGAGAAGTACCATCGGTATCAACAAATCAACAACTGTTCGCCCCGCGCGGGACTTGCCTAGACTGTCCCGCACGGTTGCCTGAGTCGAGGTGACCTTGTTCTTGCCAGTACACGTGTTGCGAGCGGCGCGTAGCTCAACGTGAAGACTGCCGCGCAGAGGCTCTTTCCCGCGTCTTGCGCATATATTTCTTGCGAGATTGTCAACAAATTGGTCATGATATCGCACGAGGGGACTAGAGAGCAGTTTCACGGCATAGTCAAGGTCGCCTGCACAGCGCAGAGGCGATCGACGGGGCGGCGCGCAGACACGGGGAACGATGATGACGGCCGAGAACAAGGAGTGCGCCGTTAGCGCCGGGCGCTTACCGGCTTTCGCGCCGCGCCGCCGGTCCTCGGCACCTGCCGACCGCACTTGCCCCGCCGCTCCTCTTGCGTTCTTCGTCGTCCATCGCCACTGCCCCCCGTACTACCAACAACGGGAACCTCGTCATCCAGCGACACCCCTCCCATCCCCCGCGAACGGAACAGACAGCACAACGGGATTCTTGAGAGCTTTTTGGACGACACGCTTACTGCTTCACGACGCGATCTGGGCGTATCGCACCTATCCCCCATCACTCCCAGCACCCACGATGGGTCCAGACATGTCCCAGCGGCACCTCTGAAGCATGTTGTAAGGCTTACCTTCTGTAGATGGTCAGGGAACACGTTCTCTCCTATCGTTCCTGAAGGTCGACGCAAGATGTATGCACACCCTACCCGGATATCCTCGACCAGTCGTCACCTGAACGGAGATGCTGAACCACCATAGAGCGACGGGGGACGTTTTGTAGAGCCGTTTCTCGCTTGCGCAGCCCGCCGCCGCAGCATAGTGCGGTCTGTAGGACGCCGGAAAGGTGGTTTGAATATGTGGCGTCGGTTTTGGTGCGTTCGTACATCCGCCGCCCGGGCCTGCACTGACCAGATAAGCACAGTAACATAGTCTACGAGTATTTCCCATGTGATCTAGGAAGCGTGGACGCTCTCTGCGCTATTTCCCCCTCGCAATACACCACCGTCTCCTCGTCTACCCACATGTTCCCCACCCCCTGCGCGTCGTATACAGAACGCCTCACCGCATGCACGTCACTGATCATCCAAATCATAACATTTCCATGGTACTCCGCCGCTTCCGGGACCCGGCCCTTGCGTCTACATCGCTGAATACCCGAATGCCGCTATTACGGTCCCCCGCGAGTTCCTCCGCTTCACGGCAGGCAAGTACTCTTCAACGCGACGCTCTGGACACCGAATTATTGGA